GAGGCTGCTGTCCGCGCTCCGCCATGACCGCGCCGCTTCTAACCCGACAGCGGAAGTGCCGGGACCCTATAAACGGCACAAGGAAGCGCGACACGCACACGCCGTGGCGACGCCACGCTGCCATCTAGGGCCCGCCGCTCCTTGTACGGGCACAGAAGGTGTGGCCTCTGCCGTGACGACGAAGCCGAGGCGGGGCTCCGATAGGGAGAACCTAGGGCCGGGGGCGGGGCCTATGCAAATCGCCGGGCTGAAACATAAATAGAGCGCTTCGCGGACACGGGGGTGGAAGGGGCCGCGGGGTTGGGTGCCGGGTGGGCTGTGAGAATGTCTGGCTGCCGTGACGCGAGGGGCGGGGCCCGGGCGGGGTTCCCGCGGGAGGGGCAGCCGCCCGGGCTGGCCTGAGGTAGTTGGGTCTCTGTGCCCCCTGCCTACTCCACTCACCCCCTGGCTTCCCTGCCTCCCTTTGATGTCCGACAAGTGAGGACGCGCCTCGTGGGTAGCGGCGGGGAAGGCAGAGGACCCGGGGGCGGGGTGGGGGGGAGGGCGCAGGGAGGTGGGAGGCGGGGCCGTGGCCCGACGCCCCGCCCCCCCCGTCCGCCTGCCCGCCGGGGGAAAAGCCTCTGGGCGGAGGAGGCGCTTTCAAAACAAAGAAATGCGGCACGGAGCCCAGGGGACGCGGGAGGAGAGGAAGACGGAGGAGGCGCGGCCGCGGCCGCCCGGCTGTCCGCTCTCCTTCCAGCCAGTGCGGGGGAACTTCCCCCACCCTCGGCCGAGGCTGCGGCGCCGGGAGAGGGGAGGAGGGTTGCCCTGGGCGGCTGTTTTCCACTTCACTTTTGCCAACCCGGGTGGGCAAGAGGGGAAGCTTGGGTCCCGCTGCCCGCCCCCCTCCCCGTCGTTGCCGCAACACCCCGGGCCTCAACCCCGCGCGATCCGGTTCTGTCCCGTCGGCCAGGCTGGAAGCCGAGGAGGCACGGTGCCCGAAAAAACGTGCCCAAAGCGCTCGGAACCTGTCCCACAGCCCCGCCACGCGCGTCCCGAGCCGGCGGCGGCCGCCCCGCCCTCGCGCTCCCTCTGCGCCTCGGGCCAGGAAGCCGACCCGCCCGGGAGGAGCCCGGGGAATTTGAGCCGCCCTTGGCCGCGCAGCCGCGACCCCCTCCGCACCACCTGAGATCG